TCTGGTCCTGGGATTTTTTTTTTTTTCGTGGCAAGTTTTTTGATTACTGATTCAGATTACTGATTACAATCTCTTTACTTGCTATAGGTATATTCAGATTTTCTTAAAAAAATTCAGATTTTTTTTTCCGTGGGAAGTGTTTTGATTACTGATTTGATTACTGATTACAATCTCTTTACTTGCTATAGGTATATTCAGGTTTTCTATTTCTTCTTGAGTCAGTTTTAGTAATTTTTTTCTAGGAATTTGTCCACTTCATTTAGCTTATCTAATTTCTGGCATGCAATGTTCATAACATTTTCTTATAAACTTTTTTATTTCTGGATAATAATGTGACCAAATTCACTCCTGATTTCCCTAATTTGAGTTTCCTACCTTTTTTCTTGGTCAATCTAGCTACAGGTTTCTCAATTTTGTTGTTCTTTTTTAAAAAAACTTTTGGTTTTGTTGATTCTACTATTTTTCTATACTGTATTTCATTTATCTCTGCTTTAATCTTTACTCGCTGTCTTTCTACTTGCTTTGGGTTTAGTTTGCTCATCTTTTTTCTAGTTACTTGAGGTGGAAAGTCAGTTCTAATATTTACATTTGGTTATTCCTTATATCTTTTATTTTTTTTTACTGATATTCCCTTTCAATCTCTCTCATTTGATTCAAGAGTGTTTTCAATTGCTTGTTGCATTTTGATGATAGCTGCTTTAAACTCATCAGATAATTACAACATCTGTGTCATCTTGGTCTTGCATCTGTTGTTTGTCTTTTCCCATTCAATTTTAGATTTTCCTGGTTCTTGGTATAATGAGCATTTTAAAATTGTTTCCTTGACATTTTGAGTATTAGGTTATGAGACTCTGGTTCCTATTTACATGTCTGTTTAACTTTTTAAGAAACTGCCAGGGTGTTTTCCACAGCAGTTGTACCATTTAAATTCCCACTAGCAGTGTATGAGATTCAGCTCCTCCTTATTCTTGCCAACATGTGGTATAGTCAGCTTTTTAAGTGCCAACTATTCTAATAGGTGTATAGTATTAATTATTGTGGTTTAATTTACATTTCTGTAATGACTGATGATGTTGAGTATCTTTTCATGTGTTTATTTGACATCTGTATATGTTCTTTGGTTATATATCTGTTCAAATCTTTTTCTCATTTTTAAATTGGAGTATTTATTTTATCATTAAGTTTTGAAAATCTTTTTATATTTAAATCCTTTATCACGTGACTGGAAAATATTTCTCACAGTTGGTGGCTAATCTTTTCATTTTCTTAAGTGTCTGTTGAAGAGAAGTAGTTTTCAATTTTCATGAATTATCATCAGCTTGTTCTTTAAGGATCACACTTTCAATATAATATCCAAGAAATTTTTGCCTAACCCAAAGTTCTGGAGTTTTTATGGTTTTATGTTTTACATTTAGGTCTGTGATATATTTTTTAGTTATTTTTTATATAGTGTGAAGTATAAATCAAAGGGTTTTTTTGCATATGCATATTCAACTCTTCTAGCACTATTTTTTGAAAAGACTATCTTTTATCCATTAAACTGCCTTTGCACCTTTATCACAAATCAGTTGTCCATATATGTGAGTCTATTTCTGAACTCTATTATGTTCCATTGACCTATTTGTCTACCTTAACCACACAGTCTTGATTACTTTAGCTTTATAATGTCTTAAACTCAAATAGTCCATGTCCTTCAATTTTGTTATTCTTTTTCAAAGTTGTTTTGCCTATTCTAGGTCCTTTCCATGTCCATGTGTATTTTAGAATCAGTTTCCACAAAAGAATAGCTTCCTAATATTCTGATTGGGATTTCATTGAATCTATAGGTCAATTTGGAAAGGGCTGACATCTTTACAGTATTGAATCTTCCAATCTCTGAATACAGTATATCTCCACTTATTTAAGTCTTAAGTTCTCTCAGCAGTGCTTTTTGGTTTTCATGGTATATATCCTGCACTTCATTTTCTAGATTTCTCACTAAGCATCTCATGCTCTTTATGGTGTTATAAATGGCATTTTTATTTTTAAAGATTTTATTTATTTATTTATTTTCCCCCCAAAGCCCCAGTAGATAGTTGTATGTCATAGCTGCACATCCTTCTAGTTGCTGTATGTGGGACGCGGCCTCAGCATGGCCGGAGAAGTGGTGCGTCGGTGCGCGCCCAGGATCCGGACCTGGGCCGCCAGCAGCGGAGCGCACACACTTAACTGCTAGGCCACCAGGCCAGCCCTAAATGGCATTTTTAAAATTCAAGTTTCAGATTGTTCATTGCTAGTACATGGAAAATAATTTGATTTATGCATATTGATCTTTACCCTGCAACCTCAGTAAACTCACTAGTTTTAGTAGCTATTTTTGTCAATGCCATCAAATTTTTTAATCTAGATATTCACATTTATTAACACAGATACTTCTTCCTTTCCAATCTGGATACTTTATTTTTTTTTTCCTTTTTCTTTATTGCACTGGCTACAGCCTCCAGTACAATGCTTAGTAGAAGTGTTGAGATGACATCTTTCTCATTCCTGATCTTAGGTCTTACACCATTAAGTATGATGTTAGCTGTAGGTTTTTCAGATCCTCTTTATTGGTTGAGGAAATTCCTTTCTATTCTTCTTAGCTGAGTTCTTCTCATTAATGGATGTTGAAAGCCTAATACTTTTTTACTGGATGCCAGACGTAAATTTTGCCGTTAGGTACTGCATGTTTTTGTATTCCTATAAATATTCTTGATCTTTTTGGTGATCCTGTGATTTGAAAAGTTTGATCTTTTTGAGGTTTGCTTTTAAGTTTTGTTAGGTGGGATCAGAGTAGTGCTTAGCCTATGGTAAATTTTCCCCACAACTGAGGTAAAACCCTCTGGGTACTCTACCTGATACTACGTGAAGTCTCAGGTTTCTCACTTTGGCTGCTGCGAGCAGGAATTATTCCTGGACCTCTATGAGCTCTGAGGATTGTTCCCTCTAATTCTTTCAGGTGGTGATTTTTCCCTGGCTTCAGATAGTTTCTTGATAAATGTATTAATGAGTCTTTAGCTGAACTTAAGGGAAATCCTCTGTGGATCTCTGGAAATCTTTGTGCAGTTCTCTCCTTTTGGTGTTCTGCCCTGTAAACTCTGACCACGTTGGCCTCATTGGCCTCCCCATTCCATTTCAACACTAGAGACCACTGGGCTCTGCCTGGGTTACGCCTCCCAGCCATAAGCTGGGCAATCACAGGGCTCACCTCATTTCAGGGATCACTGTCCTTTATTGGAATTGGACATTTCAAGATGTTCAATGTCTTGAAAACCATTGTTTTACCTATTTTGTTCAACTTCTTAGTTATTTCCGCTGTACAGGTAAACAGTCAGTCAACTGTTTACTCTTTTAATGATGACTGCTGACTAACAGAATTAATAAAATTAATGCAAATACATCACACTTTTCCTTTTTGGTTAAATTTAAAATATTTTGTCTAGGAAATATATTGTACCCCGAGGTTATGAAAAATTCTCAGATGTGTTCTAAAGTTTTATTATTTTGCCTTGTGTTTTAAGTTATCAATCCATCTGGAACTCATTTTCATGTATTGTTTCATGGATGCTCAATTGCATTCTTATATGGATAATCAATTGTTCTAGAACAATTTATTGAAGAGGTGTTCATTCCACAGAGCTCTGCATTGCCACCTCTGTAACTAATAAAATGTCCCTAAGCATGATATATTTCTGAGATCTCTGGTTCCTTTGGTCTATTTATCCATGTGTAGGATACCATATTATATTAGTAGCTATACATTTATGTCTTAATATATGATAGAATGTCCTCCCACACTGTTCTTATCTTTCAATAGTCTCTTGCTTATTCATGACCCTTTGCATTTCCATATGTTTAAAAATCAGCTGGTTAAGTTTCCAAAAAATTCCTGTTATGATTTGTTGATAATTTATCTTGCTTTCCACTGCCAGGAATGAATCTAATTTTTTCCCTGAAATTTTATCCAGCTGTACTAACACTAATTATTAAAAAGTTCTTTTCCAAAATAGTTCTAGCAGAATGGCTCCTGCAAAGAAAGGTGGTTAGGGAAAAACTAAGGGCCAATCTGTTATCTATATGGTAGACTAGAAAAGACATTATCAACACTGACAAATATATCAATGAGTGGGAGTTCAAGAAGCATGTGCCTCAGGCTTTCAGGGAGATCCAGAAATTAACCATGAAGGAGACAGGAACACCAGATATGCATACTGATACTAAACTCAACAAGGTGTCTGGGCCAAAGAAAAAAGGAATGTCCCATACTTACCTGCATATAGATGTCCAGAAACCTCTAAATGTTATTTTTCTCAGTGCACTTATCACCTTAAAAAAAAATCTAGTCAGCATGAATGAAAATGGCTTGTTTATTACAATAGCGATATAAGAAAAAAAATTCCTTTTTTCCACGAGTTATGAATTTCCATAGAAGAAAATAATTTGGGAGGGAACTACTCTTCCCTAATACTGTTTAACTATTGTTAAAAAACTGAATTATAAATGTGCTAAGTACATGTACATATACTTACCATTCCTTAACTCATGTAATACTAAAAAGTACCAAGAAAATGCACTTAGAATAAATTGATTAAATACTGAACTGATAAGGTACATTTTCATCATTGATATCTTGTTATTATGTCTAAACTACAGAATTATTACCCATCTAGATCAGAGCTTAAACATTCTGGGTAAATGTCATTTGACTATTGTATTAGTTTTTTCATGTATGTTCATGAGTGAAATTATTCTGGAATTTGTTGTTCAAGGGCTACTCCATATCTAATTTTATTATCAGAATTATGTTACTCTTTTAGCATTAAGTGGCAATTTTTCCATAGGATTTTTTGTTCCTTCAGGGGGTAGTCTGCACAATTATCTGGTCCTACAGAATTTTTAAAGATTTTTTTTTCCAATTGTTAAAATTTTTTGGCTCTTTTTAGTTACTCTCAAAATTTAATCATTTAAAATAATATTTTCCTAGAAAATAAACCATATTCTCTATATTTAAAAATGTCTAGTAAAGTTTATATACATTTACATGACCATTAAAAAATCCTCTAAACATATAGTTATATCATATTTCTCCTTTCTTATCATAATGTGGAGGCATTGCCAAAGTCTAGTAAATAACAGTTTTCTTCAAAGAAACATTTTGATTTAAAATAAAAAACCTTCACATAAACCAATGTTAACCTCAATCAAAAACACACTTTCTGTATTGTTCTTTATTCCATGATTTTTGCTTTATTTTCATTAAACCTTTCCATCAATTCATTTGGGGCATCTGCTCTTACTCTAGCTTGTTTAACTGAGTAATCGTTATTTAACCTGACAAATATTTGGACCCCACAATATGACAGGCACTGTCCTAAGTGCTGGAGATACAGTGGTGACAAGAAATAAACTGCCCTCAATCTTCTTGGTTTTATATAGAGCAATTTCCATTGAGAACTGCTATGGTCACATTCACAGGATTTCATATACAGGAGTCTCATTATCATTCACATCTAAGTAGCCTGTAATTTCATTTTCGATTTGCTCATTAATCTTAGAATTGTTTATATATGTAGTGATAAATTTCTGAGAGGCCAAAATTCATTTGGCTATTTTCTAATTTCTACACTTTAATTGTGGTCATAAAATGGATATGACAATTGGCTTTAGCAATCTGTCAGAGACGAATCACTTCTGAATGCCTTTTCTAAAAAAAAAATGCTGAGCATGCAACCCCACTTTCACTAAAACCATAAGGCTTTATTTATAGTATAAATTTTTTGATGTAGCAAATGAAATTAATACTGATTCAAAGCTTTCTTCCCTTCATTCTATTTTACTGTTTTTTTCTTCAGAATTAACATTCTGCTGTTCAATAAGACACACATACAAATGGCCTATTTTCTACAATCATACTCTTAAGGTCTTCCTCTCATAGATATGGTCTAATACTAATATTAATAATGGTCATAAAGTCATTTAAATCCTCAAACTCATTTAACCTTTATAATCTGACAAGTAAGCAAAACAGATTTAAGTTACTTTCCAAAAAATACAGAGGTAAGTTTTGTTGAAACTAAGACATGCTAAATAAGTTGTATGACAAAACTTGAAGCTTTTCCAGATTAATTACATAACAATAATTCACCTTTGGTATGATTTTGGGGTTGCAACAAGATTTAAGTAGTGATGGAAGGTTTCCCTAGATGAATTGGATTTAAATTCTATGCAGCTTAATATCAATGATGTGAGAATGTTTTGAGAATGATTCAGAAGGAATTGACACTATCATCTCATTCATAAGTTTTACCTTGATAGTCCATAACCGACGACCAATCCATAAATGCTTTCCTGTATTATATACATTGCATTATGAATTCTCTTCTGTTCAGTGTGTTGTGTGCTCTGTCAAAAGATTTTCTAATATTACTTACACTTCTGGGGTTTCTCAAAAGAAGGAATTAACTGACATCAATTAATGAGTCATGAATAAAGCTTTTCCTACATTTTTGTACCATAAGATTTCACAAGAGTGAAATCAAGTTAGAGCCGGGAGAAAACGCTGCCTCAAAATCATTGTATTCATAGGATTTCTTGAAAGTGTAAATATTCTGGTGTTGGGCAAAGTCTGAGTCACAATTAAAGGGGTTCCCAGAGTCTTTCCATTGATAGAGATTCTCACCATTGTGAATTTTCTCTTCAGTAAAATATGAATAGTGACTGAAGATCTGGCCACTTTCCTTACATTCACAGGGTTCTGCATCAGTATGAATTTTCCTATGTCGTGAAAGCTGTGAACCCCAGATAAAAGATTTCCCACATTCTTTACATACATAAGGTTCCTCACCAGTGTGTATTCTCTGATGTCGAGTAAGTTGCGAACACCAGAGAAAGGCTTTTCCACATTCTTCACATTCATATGGTCTCTTTCCAGTATGGATTTTCTGATGCCGATTAAGTTCAGAGCCACGAAAAAAGGTCTTTCCACATTCCTTACATTCATAATTTCTCTCACCAGTATGAATTTTCTGATGTCGATTAAACTCTGAGCCATGAAGAAAGGTCTTTCTGCATTCCTTACATTCATAGAGTTTCTTCTCATTATGAATTTTCTCATGTTGAGCAAGATATGAGGCCCAAATAAAAGTCTTCCCACATTGCTTACATTCATAAGGTTTCCTCCCAGTATGAATTCGCTGATGTCGAGCAAGATGTGAACTCCAGATGTAGGCTTTCCCACATTTCTCACATTCATAGGGTTTCCTACCAACATGAACATTCTGATGTTGAGCAAGATTTGAACCACGAATAAAGGCTTTTCCACATTCCTTACATTCATGAGATTTCTCACCGGTATGAATTCTCTGATGTTGAGTTAAGTGTGAGCCACGAGTAAAAGCTTTCCCACACTCCTTACATTCATAAGGTTTTTCACCAGTGTGAATTCTCTGATGTTTAGTAAGATGTGATCGCTGACTAAAGGCCTTCCTACATTCATTACATTCATAGGGTTTTTCACCAGTATGAATTCGCTGATGTCGAGTAAGGTCTGAGCCACAACTAAAGGCCTTCCCACATTCCTTACATTCATAAGATTTCTCACCAGTATGAATACGCTTATGGACACTAAGTTGTGAATGAAATCTAAAGGCCTTCCCACATTCCTTACATTTAAAAGGTTTTTCACCAGTATGAATTCTCCTATGACCAGTAAGACTTGAACGCAAACTAAAAGCCTTCCCACATTCTTTACATTCATATGTTTTCTTAGCAGTGTGAACTGTCTGACATGGAGTGAGTTCTGAATCAGGAAGAAAGGTTTTCTCACACTCCTTATCTTCACAAAATTTCTCACCAGTGTGAATTAACTGGTGTTGAGTACAGTCTGAGCTAGAAGAAAAGGCTTTCCCATACTCTTTAAATTCATTCAGTTTCTTTCCTGTATTAAGTTTCTGTTGTAGATTAAAAGCTGTGTCCTGGTTAAAAGTGGACATTTTTTCATAGGTGAGTATAATCTGCTTAAAACATTCTTGTTGATTTTCCTGCTGTGTTTCAAACTGACCATTGCTTTCCAAATCACGTCTAAAGCATAAACACTCAATGCTGTGTTTTTTACAAATTTCCATTATTTCACATTGAGATAATGCTCTCTCAAAAACGCCGTTTTTTTGTGATAACTTCTTGGTCTGATACCTGGACTGCATATCTGAAAGATAAGATAAATTCATACTGTTTTACTGTTCAAAAAGAAAAAAAACCTTCCAATGTAGATATAGGAAATAAATCCTAAAATAAATAAAGCCACACAAGAAGTGAATGGTTTAAAAAATTCTCAAATTCTGGGCAATATGAAAAAAGGGCAAGAAATAAATAGAAATTTAAAGGAATAATAATTGAAGCAGGTGATTAGATATATAAAGTTTTGTTTTGGTCAAATTCATCTGAGGAGTTCAACTGAAAAAAAATGATTGTTCAGGTACCATCCCAATCATGAAATACCAATTTAAAACTTCAGACTTTCATTCAGTATGGTATAATCAACCCTTAGCATATGTTAGGCATTAAAAAAATAATTCTGTAAAAAATACACTACAAGACAAAAAAAAAGTGAACAGGGAGGAATTTAGGATGGAGTAAAGGATAATATTACAAAAACCAGGGACCAGGAAGCACAAATGAGATCATTTAATCAAATGTGATAACAATCTAACACATCTCACTGTCTAATCTTGTTGACCTCTACTGAAATGAATACATATACCGTTCCACATTACTTTCTGTACAGATAGGAGGAAACAAAAGCACACTCAGGCTATCTCAAAGACAAGTGTGCAGAAACATAATCATACCTACGTACTCATTCTTCCCTTTGCCTTTGCGCATTTAAAGACTTCACCCTGCTCATTTCCTCCACGGTGCATAGCCTAGTCATTTTTTGTCACATGATCCCAACCAAGGCGCTTTTGTTTTATTTATTCTTGAGTTTACAGTATTGCTCACCCATTCTGTTTTATGCTTTCAAGCCCTTTCCTAGGTCTTCTCTTCCTTTCCCTTGTAGCCGAGGCCCTGAAAATATCTCAGAAAATATCTACAAATTTTCAAGTACTATGTATGACACTACGATGAATGTTTTATATAATTCTGAGCTTAAAAACAGGAATGTTGGGAAATAGAGCATTAGTCTAATACGTGAAAAGTGGTCTGATTTAGAGTTAACAGAGTACTAGGGACTGAGTAACACAGGACATGTTGCATTTGGGTTAAAGGAAATAATTATGGGTGACAGTTCATAGGAAATAGTTGGAGAAATTTGCCAAGGGAGAAGAGTCTGGCATGAGCTAGGATAAGTAGGACTCCTCTGTGACTCATTTTTGATATGTGCTTAGGATTCAATGAAACTGTCATATGGTGGTGCTGTAAATTTTCCTCGGGAGGACAGAGGTGGGAACTGAACAAGTACTCTAGCAGCGACTGAATGATTCAGAAGGCAGTTCAATTACAATGTATAAGCAGTAGTGTAGTGTACTGGAAAGATGACAGACGAGTTTCCGGCTCTGTTTACTAAAACCATCTTTAGATCATGAGAAAATTACTGAGCTTGAATGAGCTTATTTTTCCATATGATAAATAGGGATAATATCTCTTTCAAGAGGTTTATTGAGATGACTGGGATAATATACTATTTCTATACAGTGACTGACACAGAGTAAGTACAACTAGTAGATAAGGACGATGATGATGATTAGAGAAGAAAAATTTGGGAATGTGGGGAACTGGGTGTTGGAAATGGTTTAACAGTATCTCACACATAAGCCACTACTCAGAAAGTAGTAATTATTATTGTGCTAAATATTGCAGACAAGTAGTTTAGGATAAATGGAAAAAATATTGAAGGAATATAAAACAAAGACATTAAAATAAATTCCCCAGACAACAGCATGTGATGAGAAAACAGCTACTTTGAGTTGCTGCCTGGGCATCTTACAGTATGATGCCCTGGCTCACACCCAGAGTCTGGACATCTAGATAAGGACCTGAGCTTAGGACACCCACCACAAGGTCCCATTTTGCTTTTCCCGGGGCACCTTTAAAACAACCACTTAGAGTTGAGCCTGCGAAAGGTGAGTGACCTCTGCCCCAACCACTTTATAAGTAACAGGTGCTTGCTACCCTGCTCTCCATCTCCTGCTCGCTCACGACTTGGGAAGGGGAACTGCCCTTCCCCCCATTCACCGTGCCCCCCCACCCCATTTCTGAGATCTGTAAGTAATAAATCTTGTGACTTCCTTTGTGTGAGTGTATTAAAACTGTGCCTTCAATCAAAACGACCCCAGGTCTTCACTTCCTCAAAGTGGGAGCTCAGATGCTGAGGGAGCTGCCTGCTGACCTTGTGTGAGTGGCTTGTGCCTCCTCATTCAGCAGGTCATAATCTGCACATTCTTAATTTAAAACACTAGCTACGGGGCCCCCAACACACAGGATAAACATGAAAGTTAGAAATAATGACCTTACCCCATTTTCACTCTACCACCTTCCTACCTTTCTCACTTCTGTTTAGATCCCAGGTCCTTACCTATGACTCCTGTATCGATCTCTTCTTGGTGAAACCAAGCTTGCTGCTTATCCTGGGCCTGAACTAAATAAGTGAACATAGCTGGAAAAAAAGAAAGTGGTGCTGACTAGAATAACTTTAAACTTACTTGAAAAAAAAAAAACAACCACAAGTGGGTCCTCAGCTCTGCCCAAAATATCTACATAACTCTAGTCAAATATAAACATCTATGTATAACCCAGTGGAAGACAATCAAGGACCTAGAAACAGAACAGAGTTTTTATGGAAACTTAGATTGTGACAGAAGGAACAAGACAGATTATTCCACACGTGTTGTTTCACTATAGCCATGTGGGGAAAAATTACATCTCTTTTTTATACCATATACAAACACAAACTACAAGTAAATTAAAGACACAGGTGGTAAAAAAAATCTTTAAAACTTATAAAACAAAACTTAAACATCTTTAACAAATCTCCATGGGATATCAAACTTGCAGGTAAAATATATTAGAAGAACAAAATAAGAAAATACTATGACTGATACTATTTGAAAATATTGAAGGGCTTAGCCAATTTCTATTATTCCAATTGTACTGGTACTAGCATTTAACTTAGAGACTGACAGAACTTATGACATCTTCTCAGGGCTAAGGTGATAAAGACTGGTATCCAGGGTCTGTCTACAGGGGGAGTCCTAAACATCCCTCATATTGAGTTATAATTGAAGGCTTGTAACCTAAGAATATGGGTAAAGCACAGGGAGACCTACAGAGGAACTACAGCTCAGACTCAAACCATCTCTGACTGAAGAGAGTGATGGATTGAGATATCAACCAAGATGCTCCTAATGCCTTTATGTACCTGATAGAAGCAAACAGAATCCTCTATAAAGGAAGATATCCTAGGCATTAGTTTTACCATTTTGAAACAGTGTCTGGCACAAAATTCAAGAAATAACCAGACAATATGAATGTAAAAAATGACAGAAACAATAGATAGTGGAAACACATCTATAAGGACTCTAGATATTAGAGTTATGAGATAGAGTTTAAAAAACAGCTATGCTCAAGAAGCCAAAAAACAAAATTGATCATTTCAGCAGAGAATAAGAAACCAATATACATCAAAAGAAAAACTCCAATAGAAAAAGTTTGGAAAAGCCATAAGAGAAGCATTATGACATAGAAGATTCAGTTAGAAGGTTAAACGCAAACGTAAGTGGAGGCTTAAAGAGAGAAAAGAGGAAGAATGGGAGAAGTAGTAATATTTGAAAAGATAATGGCTGAGAATTTTCAAAACAAAGTCCATGAGCAGGTGAATGAATAAATAAATTATAATACAGCCATAAATGGAATACTACAGAGAAATAAACTATTGATACACACAACAACATAGACGAATCTCAAAATCATGCTGGCAAAAGAAACAAGGCCAAAAAAAGTGTACCTTGTATAATTCAATTTATATAAAATTCTAGAACATATAAACTAGAGTTACAGAAACCAGTTCAGTGATTGCTTGGAGATGGGGGTAGAAGAAGGGATGGATAGCAAAGGGGCACGAGGAAATGCGGCAATGACTGAGGTGTCTATTGTCTTGATTATAGTGGCTATTTCATGGATGTTTACACATCTGTCAAAACAGATCAAACTGGGAGGAGAAGTCAAGATGGCGGCGTAGGCAGACTCTGAACTCTCCTCCTCCCATGGACACAGCCAATTTATAACTACTCTTGGAAAAATTACCCGAGAGAGAACTGAAAACTGGATATGAGGCCCTCCTGCAACAAACGACAATCCTAATTGAGGTGGAAGAGACGGAAATTCCCTTCTGGAGAGAAAAAACGCCACTTTCACAAGCCGCAGTGCTTCATGGCCGCCCCCGAACAGCCCAAATGTACGCAGCCCTCCCTGGAGGAGCGGGACCCTGTGACAGGGAGCGTGCTTGCTATAGGCATTTTTTGGACCCAGCACAATCGAGACGAGGGGCATAATATCTGACTTTGCCTACTGCTGAAACATCGGGGAGTACAGCCAGAAAAGCTGGTGCACAAAGAAATTAAAACAGGCTCTTAAAGGGCACAAGCACAAAGTCACCCATTTCAGAAAGCAACCTAAAATTAGCAGAAAGAAAGGTGCACAGCCATTTGGGGAAAAGAGACTCACCCGATAGGCTCTGAGTGCATCTCGGTGATAGGTGAGACCTCTGCAGGGACTGGGACACTGGCAGCAGCCACTGTTGTGACCTGGTGTGGGCGTGCTTACACAGATGCTGGCAGACACCACTGGAGTTTTCCCTGAGGTCTGCTAGCCCAGGGTCTGCCCCACCCACTAGAGAACCAATTTAATCCAGCTCAGCAAGGGCAGGCAGCCCACCCTAGGGACTGGCCCCACCCAACAAGCCCTCAGGCAACTTGTGGGGCTGCTAAGGGAGCTGCCTGGATTCTCCACAGCCTGGTGACTAGGTCTGTCTCTGTAGGGCAGGCTGTGTGCAAGGAAAGGGTGGAGAGTGTGGGGCTCCTGCCTTGGAGACACTGGGTCCACTTCAGGAGATTAGGGCATGCCCACGGGGCAGGATTGCGTTGATTGTGTGTGCGGACCTGTAGGCGGTGGGGCTTTTCAGCTGCAGAAGACTTGTGCTTCTCAAAGAGT